TGCTGCCCAGAACCAAGCAGACAATGCCATCGGAGATGATGATGATGACGAGGCCGAGGCCGGCCCTTCAACAGCATCTGCCGGAGCTGCTCAGTCCGGCCGCAATGAGACTGCAGCTGAAAAGACGAAGCGTCAGAAAAAGGAGCAGATGGCCATCGCCAAAATCAAGGCCTCCAAAGCGTTCAAGAAGCGCAAGCACCGAGGCATGGATTCAGAAGATGAGGACGACATAGCACGCGCCCTATTCGAGCAAATGGCCCAACCCTTGCCAGGCCAGATGGATAACTGCGCCATCTGCAAGAAGCGCTTCACCGTTACCGCCTACTCGCTGAGTGGCCCCGAGGGCGGTCTGCTTTGCGCGCAGTGCAGCAAGGATGAGGCTGCCAAGAAGGGCAAGGGCAAGCAGAAGCCCAAGAAACCCGCCGGTGGCCAGGGCAAACGTCGCAAGATGCAGAGCAACATCCTCGACGGCACGTACCAGACTGGTGCCAAGAACCTGACCACTCTCTGCATCGAGACTCTGGCCAAGAATGTCGACCTCGCCGACAGTTTGGGCGATTTGCCAGACCAGGTGGTGGACAAGATTGCGCGACTCTTCTCCAAGCGTCGACTGCTCAGCCCTGTGACGCTGCCCCTGTTTGTGCAGCCATCTACCACGGTCCTTCACATCTACGACGGCGCCAAGCTGGGCTCCAACGAATTCGAGAGCATCTTCCAGACGGCACCCAACCTCAAGAGATTCAAGGCTCGCAACTCTATTCAGTTCAAGGACGAGGTCATGGACTATCTTCTGAGTCGCGACATCAAGCTTACGCACTTTATTCTTCACGGCGCCAACCTCCTCAGCGACGAGAGCTGGACCAAGTTCGTCCAGCAGAAGGGTGCCCATCTGGAAGCCATCCAGGTCTACTACACTGATAAGCACGTTGGCGACGAACTTCTTGCTCTCCTTCCCGAGACTTGTCCCAACCTCAATCGCCTCAAGGTCTACCACAACCAAAAGGTCACTAACGTCGGCGTCAAGTCCATTGCCGACATCAAGTCATTGAAGCACCTCGGCCTTCACCTGCAGCACGACATCACCTCCAAGAGCCTGGCCCACATGATCCACGGTGTAGGCAAGGACCTGGAGACGCTTTCCTTGAAGAAGATGCCCACGGCCAACGACGAGGTGTTGAGTGCGATCAGAGACACCTGCCGTTCTCTCAAAAAGTTCCGCATCACCGACAGTGAGCACATGACGGATGAGGGATTCGCGGACCTCTTCAACAACTGGGAGAACCCTGGCATCGAGATCATTGACCTCCAAAAGTGCCGCTACCGCGACTCTACCAAGCCCCGCGAGAACGAAGACGGCATTGGCCTCTGCTCCGACGGATTCCGTGCCCTCATGAAGCATTCCGGCAAGAAGCTCAAGAATCTCAACATCCACGCTTGTCGTCACATCAAGCGTGAGGCGTTCGAGGACGCCTTCTCTGAGGAGGACCAGTACCGCAACCTCGTCAAGCTCGAAATCAGCTTCATCGAAGAGGTGGATGATTTCGTTCTCGGACGCATCTTTCGAAGCTGCCCCAACATTCGCGAGATCAACGTCTTTGGATGCATGAAGGTCAAGGATGTCCGGGTCCCCAGAGGCAAGGTCGTGGTTGGTGTTCCGAACGCCATGGGAATGGTCGTTGAAGGTCGCGACGATTAATTGCAGCTTTGTAAGGACGTTGGGAGTTTGGTAAATATTCGTTGATCGCCACGGTCTCTGGCATCTAGCCAGGCTTATGGTTCTCAGGGTCAGGTTGGACCGGCGTTATGGTGGAACCTCGGATACGGGCGTTCAGCCGGATTTGCTCATTCAAAAGGACAGGTCGGCCGGCATTTGAGTTCACATTAGGTAGATAGTTGGGGAACACCAAATCATCAGAGTCAGTCGACCAAAAATTGAGGTTTCTCGGAAGCAGTCACGTAAATCGATATGCAGGTCGGCGCGGACCAAGCAAACGGCCCACTGTCTTCTGCGGAACACAGCGGGAACTGGGGCCAGAGACGGGGACTAAAACACCGCCACAGGCTGCCGCAGGGCGGAGCGGGGCCAGCCCGGCTCAGCCTCAGCTCCCTGCGTAAGACGGCAGCGGGAGGGGACGCTCACAGCTGGATGCCACGGGGCGCCGCCAGCAGGTTGCCTTGCATTCCACGCATCCACAGGGCAGTTTATCCACCCAGGTCCCCTGCTCATGCCTCTAACCTCCCCCTGACTATCCGTATCACAAACCCGGGCTTGTTGAGCTGAGCCAACGCAGCAGTTTACCATTTCGCGGGCCCTTTTTTCTTCTTCGTGGCCATCGATCAGCATCCATTCTTCCGTCCCTGACCGCCATGGTCTTTTCCCCTTCCTAGCTGCCTCTTTCTCTCTTTCTCTTTTCCCTTTCGAGTGAATGGATGGATCTTGATTGCCCACACTCCTCCTCCTCCGAAATCATGTCTCGCCGCTGGGCGCGAAAGCTTGAACGCTGCTGTTGCACTTTCGCGACCTACATCCCTCTGCTCTTCGTCTATGGCTTAACCACCTGGGCCGTCTGGGTGGATGTCACCATCGGGTCCCTGCCTTCTAAAGCTTCGTGGCTCGGTGAGTAGTCCGCTGATGCATGCCCGCCCGCCGCTTTCTGACGATGCATAGGATCCGCGTCTTCCGCAGGCGCCCTTCTCCTCTACGGCCTGCTCAACTGGTCCTACACCACCGCCGTCTTCACGAGCCCCGGCAGTACGACAAACGATAATGGCTACAGCACGCTACCGACCGAGGCGCCCCCGGCCGCCACCTCCTTCACCGTGAAGTCCAACGGCGAGCTCCGGTTCTGCAAAAAGTGCCAGGCGAGGAAACCCGATCGCGCCCACCACTGCTCGACCTGCCGCCGCTGCGTCCTGAAAATGGATCACCACTGCCCCTGGCTGGCGACCTGCATCGGCCTGAAGAACCACAAGGCTTTCCTTCTCTTCCTCATCTACACGACGCTCTTCTGCTTCTACAGCTTCTTCGTCTCCGGCAGCTGGGTGTACATGGAGGTCATCAACAACACGACGTACGTCGAGACGCTGATGCCCATCAACTACGTGATCCTCAGCGTCATCGCCGGCATCATCGGCATCGTCGTGGGCGCCTTCACCGGGTGGCACATCTTGCTCGCGAGCAGGGGCCAGACGACAATCGAGTGCCTGGAGAAGACGCGGTACCTCTCGCCGCTGAAGAAGCAGATGAAGCACCAGTTCGTCGCTCAGCACAACGGCGAGGGTATCCAGCTGCCCGCCTACGGCCAGCAGCTCCTCGACATCCACGCAAACGCCCTCCCGGGCATTACGCGACCCGAAGAAGGCGAAGAATACCGCGGGGGTGCGGGCTCCTCGAGGCCGATGGGCGCCACGCACCAGTCGTACGAGGAGATGGAGCGCGAGCGCGCGAAGAAGCGCTACGAAGAGTACCTCGACGAGCAGGACTCTGAGAAGCTTCCCAACGCGTTCGACCTCGGCGCGAAGCGGAACCTGCTGCACCTCTTTGGCCCCAAACCTCTGCTGTGGTTCGTCCCCGTCTGCAACACCACCGGCGACGGCTGGGCCTGGGAAGCCAGCCCCAACTGGTTGGCCGCCCGCGAGCGTCTCGCGAGGGAACGCCAGGAACAGCGCGCGCGCGAGATCAATGCCGGCTGGGGTACCGACGAGCCCCCGACGTTTATGCGCGAGGCGCCGCCTACCAAGCCCGACGGCGCGGGCCGACACTATCTAACCTCGCCTCCTCCTCCTCCCCCTCCCTCCAACGGTGGATCGCGTAAGACGCCCTCCAAGGCCGACCGGGTCCTGGGCCGCGACCCGAACCTGTACGCCGACGGGTTTCAAGAGTCGATGCCGATGCGGAAGCTCAGCCCGCGCGGCCGGGCGCTCGAGGACGAGCTCGACGACAGCGACCCCGACATGGAGGACCCGGCGGCGGCGGAGCACCGCGCGCTGAACCTGGTGACCAACGGCGGGTGGGGACGGAGCGGGGCCAGCGGGCTGTTGAGGAAGCATAGCCCGTCTTCGCCGTCGTTTAGGGACCAGCCTGAGAATGATGATGATGTGGATTGAGGTGGTGGAGTATGATAAATGAGGAAGAGACAGAGAGGGGAAGTCAACAATTTTCAAAATAGGGGCAACCAGAGAGAGAGAGAGCGTTTTTAGAAAGTGATATCCAGAAAGCGTCATCTTTCATGTTCCGTCAGCAAGGATTGGGGTCACTAGGGGATTTTAGAAAGTGTATAACGCATTTCATGTACGGGTTTTGTTACTTTGCAAAGGGATTAGGGAACTTTGAATTCTGAGACGTACATTCTTCGTGGTTTCCTTTTTCCAAAATTCAAGATTGGTGTTTTTGGTGTTTTCTGGGCTTCCTGGTAGAGTATCGGGGAGCTTTCCACACTCTTACCTCTCTGCTGGGAACGGATAATGATCGGGGGTTTTTTTTTTGTAGCACCTTTTGCGAATTAAATCGTTTCTATTCCATGGATTGCATAGCGATGCAGCTCTGACTAAAGCATAAAGAAACACTGGAACTTGAACAGCGCTCTGCAGGACTCCATTGGGGATCGTTGACGGCTGTGGTCGCGCCTCTGTACCGTTCCAACTGCGTTTTTATCAGGGAGAAAAGACGACAAGATCGAACTTCTCAGACGTCTGTAAAGAGAGGCACAGCTAGATCAGCTCGATCCAGCTTCGTGAAGATCTGTAGAGCCTATTGGAAAGGGGTAGACGGGCAGACATGGAGCTTCACTAGATTGATCATCCCGTATCGAGAGACGGTCCCCGGATGACACCCCTTGGACAAGGGGGCCCAGCCGTTGCCGAAATCACGAAGATGGTTGAGACTCCTTCATATATCTTGAGCATACGTCTCTGATATTCTAGCCCAGAAGCGAAAGGTGCTGCGGCTGCCAGCTCTATCGATGCTAGTCTTCTTCTAACATGGTCTTTTGCCCACCGTCTCAATCCGACTCTTCATCACTGTATTCGCCCTCGCTATCATCCTCTTCGTCATCGTCAGACTCGTCATCCTCGTCTTCCTCGAGCTCCTCCTCGTCCTCGTCGCCCTTGAGGCCGTAGTCGTCGTGGAAGTAGGCGAGTTGCTGGACATCCGTCTTGTACCCCATCTCCTTGAACGCCTTTTCAATGTTCTGTAACCATGTGTCAGTAAATGTCTGTCGTGAAGCTGGGGGAAAGGCATACCTCTTGCAGGATCGGAGCGCAGGTAATAACGACATTGCTCTTGCCCGGCTCGAAAACAGGCATGACGAGCTCCTTGAGCACCGTCTTGATCTGCTCGTCCGTCACGTCCCGGACGTCCCTCATGACCTTCTTGTGCCAGTCGAGCGGCAGGCTGCGCACGACGCCGAGCATGAAGTTCTGCGCCGCCGACGACGCCATGGTCGACTGCTCGTCGGCGAACTGCACGACGACCTGGCTGATGGCGCCCTCCTTGAGGTGGCGGTCGATCTCGACCTCGCCCTCGGCGATCTTGCGGATCGTCTCGCGCGACACGGAAAAGGCCTTGCTGGCGTCCGGCGAGCGGTACACCTTGTACTGGATCACGCCCGTGTCGAGCTCGCGGCCGAAATACGAGCCGTACGCCAACCCTTGCCCGCGGACCGAGTTCCAGAGGGGGCCCTCGGTGGTCTCGAGGTAGCCGATAGCCACCATGATGGCCGGGAGGCGGGGGTCGTCGAAGGAGGTGATGCCCTTGGCCGTGCTGACGCCGTAGGAGCTCTCGGCCGTGGTCATGGGCACGATGGTGGCGCCGACGGTACCCGGGTTCTGGCCCTCCTTTGTGAGCAGGGTGTGCGGCTTGACGATGGGGAGCAGCTCGTCGGAGCCCCCGAGTTGGGTGCTGAGGATGTCCCAGGCGGCCACGGGCTCGGGCAGGCGGGCGACGTCGGCGGTGACGAGGATGCGCACGTTGTTCGAGGTGAAGAGGGACTTGCGCAGCTGCTCGAACCAGGAGAGGACCTTTTCCGGGTCGGAGGCGATGAGCTTCTTGAGGCGGCGCAGGTAGATTGCTCTGACGAGTGCGCGCTTGGCGACCGAGTAGGACTCCTTCTTCATGTGGATGGACATGTCGATTTCGGACGCCATGGATCTGCCGTCACGCTTCAGCTCGGGGATGTCGGCCAGGTGCTTCTGGACGCCCGCCTTGAGGCGCTGGATGTCGAAGACGCTGTCGAACATCATGGTGCGGATCCAGTTGATGACGGTGGAGTACTTTGCGGGCTCGATTTGGAACTGGATCATGACGCCGTCGGGGTCGCCGTAGTCTCGTGTCGAGCGCAGACCATAGCTAATGGTGTCCTGCTCCAGCTCCATGACGACCTGTTCGAAGCCAACCTTTTCTCCATCGCGCATGATGGGAGTGTTGAAGAAGTTGTCGTTGAAGATGGGCAGCAACGGCTTCAGCTCGATCGGTACCTGTGATGTCCCGAGATAGACCGTCAGGTGCACAAAGTTGGTCGGCACGCTCTCGAACTGGATGAAGAGGGGGTCTTTTCCTTGCTTGGCGCCGTCAATGACCTTTTGCGCCGCGTTGTCAACGAGGCCGAGGCTCTTGGCCTTTCCAGACCTCGCCGTGTCAGACTCGATGAAGTGAATCGATTCGGTGCCGGGGACAGCCCACTGATCGATCACGGAGGCCGGGATGGGCTCATCGTTCTTGGCCTTGGCAGCCTCGAGGCGCTTCTTGAGGTCAGCCAGACCCTCGGCGCCGAGCTCCTCCTTTCTCTTTGCGAGCCTCGCCTCCTCGTCGGCCTTTTGCTTCTTTGCGAGCTCGTGGGACGGCTTGCCGAGGATGGAGACGTGGGGAGCATCGGACAGCCACTTGCGCAAAAAGTCCCTCCATTGTGCGTCGGTCCACTTCTCGAGCTCCTCGTACTCGGACAGGGACTGCAAGTCCTTCAGCGTCGAACCGTCACGCTTGCCGAAAAGGTAGTCCGTGATAATGTTGTTGGAGTAGAAACCCTCAGACTCCTCGGCCTGAAACTTGACCTGAAGGCGTTCGCGGTGGATGCATGAGGTCAGGTATGCCATGTCCAAAGGCTTCGATGCCACTTCCTTGAGTAGGTCGACGAGTCTCTTCTCGACAAATTCCAGCTTATCCGTTTCGACGCCAGTCGGCTGGAACCAGATCACAGAGTTGGGCCTGGCATCCCACCAGTAGGACACGGAGCTGGCAAGCTCCTCCTTTTCGACAATGACGTTCTCGAGAATCGACACAGAGGAGCCGCAAAGATAGGTCAGCAGGACGTTGAGCGCAGACGTCTCGATGGTGTTGGTGCAGTTGGGGCCGTAGAAAGCCACAGTGATCTCGCCGACGGATTCGTCCTCTTCAGGGAACTCGGCTGTGGTGATGATGGTCTCCTTAAGCGCTGGAGGCTGTGCTGAGTCGATCCAAGGTCTGCACACTCACGTCAGCATGGTTTGTTAGGTGTGGGGGATTGGACTACCTCTTGAAAGGGGAATCCAGCGGCGGAAGATCGTCCTTGATGCTCTCCTCGAACTCGTCCAGGATCTGCAGCAGCTCGTTGTGGTCCGCTTCGCCAATGATGACCACGGCGAGGTTACGGGGCTGGTACATGTCACGGTGGAACTGGCGGATGCGGTCAGGGGTCAAAACCCGGAGGGCCTCCGTCATGCCTCCGGTCTCGTAGCGGAAGCCCACGTTCTCCGGGTACAGCAGTCGGCGCGCGCGTAGATCCATGATTTCGGCGCTCTTGAATTGCACGGCCTGCATCTCTGAGTAGACAACACCCGCATCGTTACCCTCGCCGTCAATGTGGTGCACCTCGGTGATGCACGCCTCGTCCGTGATGACGGGCACGATGACATGCTCGAGATACACTGGCAGGATCTGTGAGAAGCCTTCCCAGCCAGCGCTCTCGAGCGTGTACGCGGTGTGATCCGTCGCAGTCCAGGCGTTCGTCCCAGAGTAGGCTCGGGAGGCCAGCTTGTCGAGGAGTCCCTTGTAGCGGTAGTTCTTTGAGCCCATAAATATCAGATGCTCGAGAGTGTGAGGGGCGCCCGAGTCGTCAAAGATCTCGGTTGCGAGAGTGAAGTAGCCGTTGGTCTTGGGGCCCTTGCGATCGGCCACAATCACCTGCATGCCGCTCCTCTCTGAGACATACTGGCTGATTTGGCACGGGGCGTAGTCCGTCTTGAAGCTCTGGACCTTGCGGAACCGCGGCTGCGGCTTGGGTTGCTCCTCAGGCGACATGGTGTGTGTCTTTGCTTTGAATAAGCTTTGAAATGATCTGACAAGATGGTCAACTTAGTGTCCTGTGTAGTTGTGGGAGATTCTTATAAAGGCATGGGCAGGGGCACAAGAACACAGGGGCTCGAAGAGTCATGAGCAAACAGTTTAATGGCCCTTGGGTAAGGAGACAACAAACCCAGCTGAAGCAGGGTAATACGGGTCTCTTGACGAAGCTCTTCACCGGAAAACAGGAACTAGCTGTTGGAAACGGGAGGGGAAGATAACCAGACAGCGGATAGATGCAGTAGTTCGTATGACAAAGGGCCATGCGTCCGTGAACACCAGGACATCCGGTCCGAGAAGAGACATACCCAGCTCTGTTGGATAAGATGTGTCCATGATGGGGAACAAGACAAGCCGCCAGAAGCGCAACGGCCACGGCAAGCGCCACTTGACCGACTCCAATCTTCAACATGTCAACGTGTCAGACACGGGAAGGATGCCCTCAGACAGTCGTGTGAAGCTTGCAGCCTCGGAACGGTGCAGCGCAATGCGCCATGGCATACAACCAGTTGACAGGCGAAGAAGAGAAGTAGGATTACAAGGGGCCAATCGGGGGAAACCACTTCAGCCAAAAAGACTTGACAAGAAAGAACGAGTAGGACGGACGGAAGAAAAAGGCGCAGCAGCTTACCGTACAGAAGCCGGCTTTGCCAGCCTAATGGACAGAGATGAAGAAGACCAATGAGGCTTCCCGAAGCGTATTGGCCAGCCCGTGATAGGGAACGATGTAGCGGTTACCTAACCGCCGCCACGAGAGATGCTGACACAAGGATGGCGGGGTATCGACGGCACTGGAGAACGAGCTGATGCTGAGGCTTACAGGCGTCCTCAGGGATTGGTATATACCTTATAGTTGAGCTTTGGTTTCCCGTTGGCGCGCTTTCTTTTAGGTTGCGAGTTACCAGTTCGTCGCGGGGCACGAGAACGTGAGAGATGTCGCTGGCCGTACAATGAAGCGCACTGGTCCATCTGCCCCTCCAAAAGTCCAGGGCAAGAGACCAGTGGAGTTTATCTTTACTTTTTGATTTTCGCAAGGTCATCGGCGGGGTGGTGTCTCCTGATTGGCCCCTTGCCGCGGGAGACTACGCTGGGCCAAGCGCCAACCGCTCGGCACGAGGTCGGATCGGACACGAGGAACGTACCGGGGAGCGACATCGAATTGTGACGTGGGTGCTTTCGGGACAGCTATGCAATCCAGTGTCATAATTGCCCGTAGCTCATCGCCCATTTTTATGCGGCATCGCTCCGAAGACGAGGCAAAGTCCTCCTGTCGCCCGTTTCTTAGCTACATATTTGCAGAATCACGTCTCTGAACTCTAGGCGAACCTTCCCAAACCTCGATCTACCGCATTCCATTTCCTGCTTGCGACCTGCCCTGACACCTGGCGCCCCGACCGAAGCGGTCCCGCGATATCGAGAGCTTCGAGAAGCCACACGTGTGACCCGCGCACGGCAGCGGAACGAGACGATGGCCGTCGAAACAGATCAGAATGCCTCTGCGCACATCGGAGAGGCCGTAGTTGCCTTTGCGCTCGAGGGGCGCTTCCCCGACGAGCAGATGTCATCGCTGTCGCTGTCCTCTTCGGATTTGTCGCCTGCGATTGATGCGCTGGAGCGGGCCAAGGGTGATTTGGAGGTAATGCGAGGCCCATAGCGAGCGATGACGGCCTCTTACTGATGCATGCGCAGTCTGAAATCCACACGATCAACGAAGAGACCAAGGGCGACGTCAGCTCGTGGGTGCACAATGCGAAAACACTACAGGAAGACATCTTGCGATCCAAGAGGCTGGCCGACGATATTGTCCGACAATCGGAAGCGCCGCAGGTTTCGGGAAAGGCTATACAAGATGCGGAGGACCACATTCAGTTTCTTGAGAAGGAGGTGCTATACACGAACCAGCTGCACGATGCCCTCAGGGGTATCCAGCATGTCAACGAGCTTTTGGGGGAGGTCGAGCAGGCGATGAACGAGCGGCGCATCATCGATTCGCTCCGGTGGCTGGAGAGTAAGGACCGAAACATCGCATCGGCATTATGGCGAGAGGCTAATGCTATGCAGAATCTTGGACAGAGCTCGATGCCGTCCCAGTCAACAAGAAGGCATGCCGGATCATGAGGCTCCTTGACGTAAGGGCTTTCGAGCTAAAGTCACATGTTCACGACGTCTTCGACCACGTCTGGGCATCGCTTGTTCACACGGATCTCGAAGCCGGCTCCCTGGCAATCTACAACAAGTTGGATGGTACTTGGTACCCGTCTGGTTGAACCCACCGGAAGCTAACAGAATCCAGACGAGCAAATGACGCTATCGGAAGCCATCATTGGTCTCCAGGCCTACAAAGAGGTTGAAGACCGCATGTCCAAGCTGTGGCACGATGTCGACAAGGCCATTGTGTTTCCGCGCATGGACACGCAAGCTTCATCGCTGCCTTCCATCCGCGAGACTGAGGTATGTCCCAAAGACAGTCTGACGGCTCAGTTGCTGACCCCGGCAGAACGTTGTGGGATTGAATGGTCAAGCTGGCAGATCAATCGACGAGCTATTCACGGATCTCCAAAAGGTGGTTGAGTTCCTGGCCAAGAGACTGACACCGGACCTCCTCATGTTCTTCAGCCCCATCATGATGAGCGACCTGGTCCCGAGGCTCATCTCAGTCTGGCTCGACTCAGAAGTGCCCTCAAATCTCAAGGATCTCGGGAGGTTCCAGGCTGTCATCGAATCTGCACGGCGCTTTTGCGAGGTCCTTGAAGACAACGGATTCACTGGGTTTACGGAGCTCAAGGAATGGGTTGGCAGTGCGCCGTCAATATGGCTTGCAAAGTGCAGAGAAACAGCCCTTGATTCGGTCAGGGTGCAAATGTCAAACGGTCTGTCACCCAGTGTATGCCTATTCAAAATCTTGCTGACGTTGCGTAGGTCTCGGCGCCACAAAGCAAGTCGAAAAGGTGGAAAAGCAAATGGTGTCTCGGTCCGAAGGCAAGGAGTTGACGGCGAACGGTGTAGCCGGTACCGTCGCAGAAGATGACTGGGGCGCGGAATGGGGAGTCGACGATGACGAGGAACCGGAAGCCAAAGGCGACACACAAGAGGAAGACGACGGTGCTGATGCCTGGGGATGGAACGATGAGGAGCAAACTACAGAGACCGCCCAAGAGGAGACGGTGCAGGTTGAGGAAAAGACGGCAGACGATGAGGACGACGCAGCCGACGCGTGGGGTTGGGGGGATGATGATGCGACAGAGCCAACGGAGCCAGAACCGAAGCCTCAAGCAGCAAAGACGCCGACGAAGAAACACAAGACGGTATCTGCTGAGCCAGATGAGAGCAGGGAGATGGTTCTCAAGGAGACGTACCACATCTCCTCCATGCCGGAGCCGGTGCTGGAGCTTATACTGGCCCTCCTCGAAGACGGCGCGGCTCTGACACAGCCCGAGTATGTTGCGAGCTCATGTCAACACGGTGATCCTTCTAACATTGATAGGTACGAAAACAGTCCAGTGGCAGCCGCCGCGCCGGGCCTCTTCAGTTTGCCGACATTCGCATTAGCCATGTTTCGAGCAGTGTCGCCGCACTACTACTCACTCGACATTGGCGGGAACATGTAAGCATTCTGTAGGGGTATCCTTTCGAAGCTGACCAATGTCTAGGTTCCTCTACAACGATGCCATGTATTTGTCTGAGAAGCTGGCTGATTTGGCATCAACGTGGAAGTCACGCGGGGATCTCACCACACGCGCCCAGAACATGCTGCGCATAGACAACGACATCAAGAGCCTGCAGAACTTTGCGACGCGCGCATACACTAACGAGCTGGGGTTGCAGAAAACGGTGCTGCGAGATCTGCTAGGAGGTACGTTTTGTTCTAGCCTGGGCTGAAAGCACTTGCTGCAGACTGCCGGCAGTCGGTATGGCTTTTGGGCTAACGCAAGACGCACAGGCGATCAAAGTCTCATGCAGCAGGATGAACTGGACAGTTGCGTGGACTCGGCACTAGCGCGGGTCAGATCCATGGCGGTGACATGGGAATCGATTCTCGCACGCTCGGTGTGGTACCAGGCTGTGGGGTCGCTCCTGGATGGGCTGTCGTCCAAGATTATCGGGGATGTCATGGACGCGTCGTCCATCGGACAGGACGACGCGTACGGGATCGCGAAGCTCATTGCAAAGGTCACGGAGCTCGACGACCTCTTTCTGCCGTCGCGGACCACAAGTGCGAGCACGGGGGCGGCGGCAGCAGACGAAATCCCGACAACGGCGCAGTACGCGGCCACGTGGCTCCGTCTCAAATACCTGAGCGAGGTGCTCCAGTCCAACCTCAATGAGGTCAAGTACCTCTGGTGCGACAGCGAGCTCAGCCTGTACTTTTCGGCGGACGAGGTCGTGGACCTCATTGAGGCTAGCTTCGACGCTAACCCGCGGATGAGGGAGACCATCCGGGCGATTCGGGAGACCCCCAGCCCCGTGCACGGCTAAGGGAGGAGGGGACGGATCACACCGGACGGTTGAGCCGGAGGGCCCGGGCGGACGGCGCAAGAGCCGGAGCGAGATGATGGGATGATGGCTCCGCTTGCGGTCGGGCTTGTAGTCCATGATGACGGGCGATGGGGGGGAGGAGGGGCGAGAAAAAAACTCTTTTCCGACGCGAAAGAAGAATAACATACATTTAGCGTTTCTGGTGTATTGGCCAATTTCAAGGTGCTACATTGCCTTTTGAATATCAAGCGTCGTTATTCCCCAAATCTGATTCATCCATCCCAATCACCCAATCCAACCCAAAACAGGCTTGTACATACTCGCCGTGCCTTTCCTCTCTACCAATCGCTTTACTTTCACGCCCATCCACCACCACCAATTGCACCCCCCCATTCTCTATGTACGTTCCTTTCCCCACACGCACGCCCCCCTTGTACACTGCAGGCTGCAGCTCGGCCGGTCTCCACATTCTCCAACGCGCGACGCTGAACCCTGTCGGTCTCGGCACCTTCTACCCCAAATCTCCACCTTACCCCAATTTCTGGTTTTTTTTTTGTTGTCTATTCTGCTCTGTTCTGTTCTGTCCAATTCTGTCTGGTTCCCATCTCTCCGTGGTATTCTTCTTTTGGGTCTCGTGACTTTTTACACTTTTTGCCCGGCTTCGCCCATTGCGGATGATTGTACATTTCGCAAGTGAACCATCAGCGTGGCAGCCATAAAACTGCAATTCATCAAATTCTTCTTCACCCGAAAGTTGAAACCACCCCGGGAAGCCCATCGTGATCGCCGAGGAGGAGCCTGGCCCGGCCTGGCCTTTGGTGTAGCGTAGCATTCTGGGCCAAAAACCTGGAATATCGCCCCCCCCCCCCCCATGCCCAACGTCGCATTTTTCTCAATTTCATCTCTCTTTCTTGTTCCTTTCTTTTCTGTCGATCACGATCTAGAACATTAGAGATCAATGCCCCTCATGTGCCGTCACCCCTCTCCTTTCCTTTTCTTTCCAGCACAGACGAGACAACCACGACGGGCAAGAAAATACTCCGAGAAAAGGAAGAGGATTTTTCTGTAGCAAGGAAATTGACTTTCTCCTTGCAAAACCCTGTTTGGCAACCATCAAGGCCCTGACTACGTACGTACTATGTACGCATCCTTTCCGGAGCAGTTCTTCCCCCCTTGGCCTTGAAACTATCTTTACTTCACTCTCCCCCGGTTGGCAAAGGTATGTCACAAAAAAAAAAAAAAAAAAGCCAAGAGGAAAGCCACGAGTGACGGGTTGCATACTCTATTCGTTCCATGCATATATTTTCTTGGCTGCTCGCGCAGTACATACAACATCCTCATCCACGGCATAGCTAGCTAGCTAGTGTACTGATCGAGAGGGGGGAAGGGAAGGGGGCAACGCAACGCAACGCAACCCCTCGAACAGGATTTTGAGATTCTGCCTTGCTGCGCTGATCTCCGCTGCCCGTCAACATCCCTACCCTGTCAATCCTCGAATCCGCAGACGTCTTCCTTTCTTCCATTTCCCATCCGGGGGAGCTCATCGGTTGCAACACGCGCCCAGCCAAATCATAGCCCCCCCCCCCCCCGGCATCGTCGCATTCTCCTTCGCGTCCAACGTCGTAGTTCACCTCACGCGTAGAGGACATTTCTCTCCGAGCAGCAGCCGTGGTGTAAAACTACATCGCGATACCTACCTCGCATCTGATGCGCTGGAACGTTCCCATCGCCCATTACATCCCATCCAGCAAGAAAGACCTTCTCCGCATCTACCTCTGCTTCGTCCCGCCCACTTCAGCGGCTCCCACATGTCCCTTTACTCTCCGCACGTACCCAAATCCATCCATTCCTCCGTCTGGTCTTTTATTCCCATCCATCCATTCAGCCACCACTCTGACAGTGACCTGTTTGATCACGTCCCTCCTCCTCCTCCTACCTACACTCTTTTAGCCTTTGCGAAGCATGTGCAAGCAGCAAAAGCCAAGCGGGAAGGGGAGTTTCTGCCCGCCTCGTCTTCTGGTGCGGAGCCCCCTCCGGATGCAGCTCCGGAAGACACGGCAAAATCGGATAGCAACTGGATCGCCAACCGACTGATGCCCGTCATTGGTCAATTCCTCCCGTCCTTCACTCCAGAGTCGAGGTTTCCACCACCTCTTGGGCCAAGTCTATCTATCCTCTGCCGACAATGCCGTTTACTCTCGCTGTCGTCGGCCAGGTTGCTTTGATTTCCTTCTCCAAAGCCCTCCCCCAGACACACCAGCGACCCACGGCCCGGGGAGCTCTCTGGTCTCTCAAACACCTCCCCTGACCTCCGTCCATCCTCCCGGATCCTTGGTCAACCCATGCCCCCAGCAAGCAAATCCCCCTTGAAAATCGAAATGGAGGAAAAGAAACACACTACCATCTCTGTACATGAGACAAGTCTTTGGTTTGTAGGAATTTTGGCGTGTGGCACCTACCACACGCGCCCCCCAGCAAATAACAAACAGGAACCAAAAAGAAGGAGGAACACAAGAAAATCTCCAGCACGGAGATTGCACATGTTACACTATCCCAAAACCCCCAAGGATAAAATTTCCCACCACATTTCTCTCTCTCCCTCTCCCTGTCCTTTTCCCCCCTCCTCTTCCTGCACCCCGGATCATCCAGACCATAGACACATACGTACGCAGTACATACTTAGTTGGGTATGCAACAGATGCTTGCGTAGTTACACACCGTGACACCCAACTCACTTGGGGGGAGCGGGGGGGCGTTTACTTACGCAGTACCCATCCGGTACGGGGAATCCAGAGAAGGGGGAAAGAAAAGCCGCGACAAATCATCGAACCCACCCACCCATCTACTCAACTCAACCTGTGTCGGGAGGAAAAGTCTGGAGAGAGCTTGAGCACGGGACACAGCACACACACGCACGCCTGGCCTGCCATCCGGCCCGGCCGCAGAAAATCCCCACACCCAGTCCATCCGGGCCCCCCCCGTTCGCATGCCCATTCCCCCCCCCCCTCCCATCCTCCTCCTTCTGCAAACTGCAATCGAGCAAAACTCAACTACACTAGGTACATGGAGAGAAGTAAGAAGATCAAGAAAGTCGAGGAGAGAAAAAAAAAAAAAAAGAAGAAGCTCCAAAGTCTATACGCACGCAAAGATAGGGCACCAAGTCAAGTCACGTCACGTCAATGTTCAGCCCCCCCCCCCCCCCCCCCCCCCCCCCCCCCCCCCCCCCCCCCACCCTGCAACACTAACCACACACCCCCAACCACACACCACTCATTCACAACTCCCCTGCCCTCCGTCCCCCCCCCCCCCCACCCCCCCCAACCCCCCCCCCCCCCCTCCCCTCCACCGCCCCCCCCACCCCACAACGCTGCTCAACTTTACCTACCGTACTTACCAGACATCGATGCTTTCGTCTTGCCGTGTCCTCTCTGGCGACTTTCTTCAACCCCGCGTATACGTATTCGCAAAAAAGAAACAAAAAAAAAAAACAGCACCTACCAAAGCCCTCACTCTCTCAGTGTCCCAGTACCGGCACGGCAACTCTCCTCAACCCCTCTCTCTCCCTTCTCTGCCCCTATCTAGCTTAGACCTCTCTCACCCAAACCTTTCGAACAAAGGTCATGCCGCCAAAGCCCATTCGTTACGGCATAACTCTCTGCTTCTGCTCACAAGTACTCAAGAGGCAGAAAAGATCCCACGACGACCCTTATGACATTCGCCAACATCAGACACAGCAACGGTCTTGGCACAAGGTTCACGGTTCACTGTAGCCAAGCTAGGTCCAGACAGACAGACAGACAGGAAGACAGATAGACAGATAGACGGTAGTACCCATCACGGTTAATTCGTCGACATTAGCACCAGCAGTCTCAACGAGCCTGTCCGCAGCAAACTGCCTTCCATTCCAGTTCACCCTTCCCGTTCGTTCGTTGTGCCCCCCGCCCGGTCCATCCATTCCAGATGATTATGCTTCACGTCAATGCTTAAACAGATCCCCCCTCCTCCAAACCATCCTAACCCGGTGGCCTTCCTAGCCCGAATCCTAGCGGGACCGTCCTGGCCCTCCTCCGCCATGTCCTGATACCCCCAAGGCAGTCAGCAAATTCCTCCCTGTTCGCCAGGAGATTCCTCCCCGTTAATCAACAAAACACCTCTCACAAACTGTTTCCGGGTAATGCAACGCTTGAAAAGGTGGGTGATAACAATCATCCGCCATCGTGTACTGTGGGTCCTCTTTCGAGACAAATCGTGGCAGACAAATCGTGAGAAACAAAGAAACTTTTTTTCCTATGGTCTTTTCTCGACTTTTGCTTTCATCATGTCGGATTGATCCCAGTTCTATAATATTCCTGTCCCTTCCTGACATGTGGTATATGCTGTGTGTCCTTTCCCGTTTCAAAAAGTCGACGCGACCCCCGGGCATCAGGCCTCTCGGGGGCGGTGACGGTTATGCCCTTATTTCGCCGTCCCAATGAATAATCCCATGAACAAATGAAAAAAGTAGAAAGAAAAAAAAAGGTGTCCCGTTGGTATCCCTAGAAAAAAGCCTCGCATCCTTCAAGGAGAGCGGGTGAAGCGAAAGAAAAATAGTCGTAGACTACACCAGGAAGTTCTCCTTCATGCCAATAGTACGCCGCAGTCGAATGCCAAAGGGGGTATTGATAGCACATTAGATCCAAAAATTTGGGGCGCGCTGGGAATTCTGTCTTTTTGGGTTCGGCCGTGTCGTTTCGCCCCAGGGGGTACTCGAGGTCCCCCCGGGCATATGTCGTTAATTCTCTGTCGATACTGATACAAACTTGGGGAATAAAAAAGGAAACAAATTTATGCCAAGAAGCGAAGGTGGTGAGGCCTCAGCATGGTACAGAAGGGGCGCGGCCTTCCGCCGCCCTAGGTCGCCTTCTCCATGCTGGACTTGGGGCTAATGTTGTTGGATCGAGTGCCAAACGTGTTGAAGACGCGTCCGACGCCACGGGACCTGCTGCTGGTGCCCGTGGAAT